TGAACTAATTAATGAGTATTATTTTTGAATAATTTAATTGGCTACAAGACTACAAAGATTTATAATCAATTAGAATTATTAATTATAGAATAAAACAAATATATAATAAATTATATTTAAATTAATTTCTTAATTAAAACAATAAGATTCACCTAAATTGTGTGACTAAGATTGTCAAAATGACTCTGTTGTTCGCCAACGGCTCGTGTTCTGCTCGTTAAGCTGATGAGCCGAACACAAACAAATTTTTTGAGCTTAATATATTAACGAGCAAAACACGAATAATAAAATTATTTAAAGAGCTTAAGACGAACAAAACTGGGCCTCACTCAAGCTTGGCTCATTTACACCAGAAACCACAAACACGTGGTTATTTTATTCACAGGCACGCTGGTGTGCCTCGAAGTAGTATCATTAGTGTGTGAACTTTCTCAATTCATACAGATGTACACCTATTTTAATATAATTATATTATTTGAGTTCATGTATCTTAAAACTAAAATACATATTTTCATGCATATATAAAATAACATTCATCTTAAAATTAAAGTTTAAATAGCAAATATGTAAATAAATAAAAATGAAATTTTTTGCATGTAAATTTTTGGTTAATTAAATAAATACATGAAAGGCAATTTTAATTTTTTTATTAAGTGTTTGGGCTTCAATAAAGAGATCTTAAATTCAAGGTTTTAAATATGCATAAGGTTATTTTTTTTGAACAATTATATAAAGACCATCCAAATCTTTCTATTTAAAACTTATCCATCCTTTTTCATCCATCTCTCAAAATCTCGCTCAAATATCAAAATTCGCCGTAAAACCCCGACAACATTTTTAATTTTTATCAAATTCTCAGTAATTTGATTGTGACACTGCTAAATGAATTGATCTGAAAGAAAGAAAAACATGGGTGGTTAATTTGTAAACATCAATGTCTCGGGCGATTTTTACGTAATTATCTCTTTTTTTGGGTAAAAAACTTGTTATATATAAATCAACCGTTCTCTTTCATTCATGTTTCAAATTCTCGCTAAAATATCAAAATTCATTATAAAACTTCATTTCGTACCTTTCGTTTTCTATCATAATCTCAATAGTTTGATATGACATACGTAAATATATCGACAGTTCAAAAAGAATTACATTGATGGTTAATTTGTAAATATAAATATGTAGGGTGATTCATATGTAATTATCCCTTTACATACATATATATTTTAAGGAATTGAACTAAGTGATGTATTTACAGAACTATGATCAAATTATTGAGAATTTGATAAGAATTAAAAACATAGGTTAGGATTTTATCATGAATTTTGATATTTGAGTGAGAATTTGAAAGATGGATGATAGATGGTGCTTGATTTGTAAATAGTAATGTTCCAATTTAACAACTCAGGTTATTTTTTTGAACTACTAAACCAATATATTTACGAGTGGCGCTGTCATTATCAAATTAGTGATAAAAATAAAAAATAGGGGCTTTTATATACATAACACTTAACAACCGTCATTTTATTTTACATCACTCATAAGCTTTCATAATTATAAATATCATATGAAAAATAACACTCATTATCATCTTTTAATAGTAGAATCCATTTTTTCATCTATAAGTAAAGTGCTACATGTGTTGAAATGACAGTTAAAGTGTGAACTAAATAAATCCATAAGAATTGGGTGCTATGTAGGGGTGTAAACGAGTCGGTTCGTTTATATTTAGAGCTCAAAAAGTGTGTTCGTATTCGGCTCGTTTGCTTAGCGAGCCAAACACGAGATTTTGACAACCTTAATCACGTAGCCATCAATTGTTAAGGGTTGGGGCAACATTTAAAACATCATTTGAATATAATTTAATAATTTTTATTCTATTTTCTTCATTAACTCTTTTAATTGATTATAAATCTTTGTAGCCATGTAGTTAATTAAATTTTTAAAAAATACTACTCATCAAAGATATATATATATATAACATGAAATATTTGTTCGTGTTGTTCGTGTTCGACTCGTTAACTCAGCGAATGAGTCGAACATGAGCTGTTTGCGAACAAAGAGCCATTTTGACAACCCTAGTGCAATGTATGTAATTTCTCCTAAAAAATACGAAAAATTATTGCATACGGACGGACACCGCATGCATCTCTGCATGTGGTGTCTGATCCTGACCTTTGATCAGACGATCTACGGTCGGGATGTATTTCGATGGACGCCACCTAATTTTTTATTATTATAAATACTTAAATATATCCTGATCGTGGACCGTAGATCACTCTGATAATGCAATAATTTATAATGCAATAATTTTTCAAAAAATACAGGGTTTAATTTTAACATGAATTTTGATATTTGAGGGTGAAATAAATGAAAGAGGGTAGTTAATTTGTAAAACGTATGGGGTGTTCTGTATGTATGAACAGCTCCTTGAGCTCCGTCGGTCACTCTCCCGCTCTCATTCACATTTACTCTAATGGACGCTTCCTCCCCTCTTCACGCGCTTGCGTCACTCGCTAAGAATGGCTGTTGGGCGAAGGGTCGTCCGATCACTCTCAATATCCGATGATTTCCTCCCCCTTCGTCGCTCACAGGTACCGTTCACACCTTCCCTCTCTCTCGCTTCAGCTCTCCGCTCAACTCCGCTGCCATCTTCTCTGTCTCTCGTTCTCTCGCTCAAGTTTTCTGTATAGAGTAGAAATTTGATATCCATTCAAAGGATGTTAAATTGTTCTGCCATTGTCATTACAAGGTACCGACAACAAGACCATCTGCATATGCATTCATGCTCATCGGTCTACTTCTGTAATCGAAGTTCGGTACATATTTTCTAATATGGTTTCCGAGACACGGAAACTGAGTTGGACTCTTGAATTTGGTTCTACAATGTTCACTCAATCGGATTGGTTGCCGTCTGGGCAATTATTCTCGTAATGAAATACGAGATCATATCGATCAATCGATAGATAGGTCAATAGATATGCGGAGTAATTTTGTGTGTTTTGTGTGACTTGTTGGATTTTATGGTCATCATATTTTAGATATGCTGGGTTTAGGAAATTAGTAAGAATCTTTGGGAGGATAATTTGACCTTGAGTTCATGTAATTATACATTGCAATAAAAAGGTGTGTATATGGTCACCATGCTTATTTAGATATTAAGGTAATATAAGCATGAAAGCTTTGAAGGTATGCTTGATTTCGGGTAATGCAATAATCTTAAAATTCCCTGGATTGGATTACGGCAAGCGTGGAATGATCAATTATATGCTCTTTTAATACTATGTAGTTAGCTCTATGAATCTTCTGAGATTGTCCTGTTGACTTATAGCAATGCAATTCTCTACTATATCTTCAACTATATCATCTGACTCCATCAATACAAGATTCCTTTATCAAGTATTATATCATTTGCTAATCACAAAATATGCATGGTTAATAATTATACTCAAAGAAGTAGTCATGATAAATTTATCAAATGAGAAAAAGTTTCAAAATAGTTCTCTGACTCTTTGTAGGGAGCTATTTAGTAAAAGAGTATATGAAAGTGCAAACTTATTACTCAGACTCTTCTAATGAGAGCTAAAATAGTACTCTCTACGAGACTATTTAAACTCATATTAAAATAGTATGGATACAAATTTGACACTTTGAAATACTCTAGGATTAAAATGACCCCATATAAATAGTAGAGATTATTCTAACACTTAATTCTTTACCAAATTTTTTTATTAATTTAAGATTTATTTTGAAATCAATATAATGTAAATTTAGACTAATTTTCTATATATTATTGTATTCTTAGAAGAAATTAATATTTTTGAAGAAATCTCGATAAGATGTTATTTGGAATATCCTCATATAAATTTTATCATAATTATGAATCGTCAGTTGAGAAAAAGAGTGAAATCGACAATCGGCCCCATTGGCGTCTTATTTTTTTATTTTTTGTAAATAGGCTGCTAGTTTGGTTAACTATATTTTTAGCGTGGGATTATGACTTTCTTGCTCTTGAAGCCAGGAGAGCAAGGGAAGAGCAATCTTAAAGACTAGGAGGAAAAATCATAGGTCATGAAATATTCAATCAATGAGCTTGTTTCCCAAATATCTCAAAATTGTATTTTTGTTTTCATTTTTATTAAGTTCTTCCATTCTCATTAATTTGTTGAGCTTAACTTGTTAAGTTTGTTGACTCAAAATTGATTTTAACGTCCTGTGATTGAGATCATAAGTATATACGATTCTTATTTTGAATAGTAGGTTTTGGTAGGATTTAAGGTGGCCTTCATACAACTATGTTAGAGCTTGTTACTCGAATTTTGTTGGGCTTGGATAAAAAAAATTGCGGTGCGACATATATGATGCGGTCTAAATTATGGTAAATTTTTGTGGGGGTCTAATATGGCAGTGGAAAGATTGGGCTCATACCCTATGGTGGAGCCTTCCTTTTTTTTCAGACATTTAGTTGTTTAATTAAGAACTCTTTGAAGTCATGTGATGGAAGCCGCCACTCCCTACTTGTAACTCATTTTTCTTTTTGATATAGTGAATTCTTCACTACTTGTGATTTTTCCCATTTTGGATTCCATGTAAAACTTGGTGTCTTTTGATTTGTGTTTGTGTTTTGTCTCTTAATTATCATTCTTTCAAACATATATCAAACCAACTAATTTTTTGTGCATTTAATTTGGGAATTGTATTAAATCTTTTTGAAAGGGAGAAAGCGCAAAGAGAAATCCAAGATAGAAGCAATGGTGGAATGTATAAAACCGAAGGTAAAAGTGGGGATGGTTAATGTTGATATGTTATCTAGGATGTGGGGTTTATTATCATGTCTGATTAGCTTAATAAATTATTAGTTAATTATTATTGAATTATGCTAATTAAGATTGAGGTATTACCTAACATACACAATAAAATCTTACAGTCATACAAATCCTTGAATTCTCAAATAGCCAAACAGTTTACCAGCTTTAACAGCTATTATATCAAATAATTGTTACAATCTTAGTCCGAGATAACATGTAGCTTTGATGTTGGCTGTATCCATCCGCAAAAGTGCCAAGGAATGATGCTGCCAGTTCAGTAAATGTCATTCTTTATTGATTTGTGTATATTTCTACATCCAGGCTCACAAATACTGCCGGTATTTACTACATCATATATTATATACTCTACAATACGGATACTCTTTGTTTCTAGGTGTATTTCAGAAATTTGAACTTTACTGTAGGTTTATGTATGCATATGTTTCATTGATTTAGGATGCCACTGCTGTCCAGTAATTCGCTAGGCAAAGGCTTGTGGGTGTTCCAATGATCCGTATCCATTCCCATCCCGCTGTTGCCTGGCCGGATCTTCGCAGCTCTGCAAGCTGTACAATCAATAACCCATTTTAGTTCAAAGCTTCATTAAGATAGCAGGGGGTTTGGGTAATGTTGACAGTTTCTTTACTATATTCATGTGAGTTGATGTTTAGGTGTAATTAAAGTTTTTCATGTTGCACCTTCTATAATAAGGTAGGATGAACAGTGGGATTCGGATTTTAATTTTCAACAAGGTTCTCAGATATCAATGTTAAGAATATATCAAGGTTTTCATATTGCACCTTCAAGAAATTGTTGTGGTGTGACTAGTTCTCAATCTCTTAGAGTTTGTATGGATGCACTAAAAGCTTCCATGCACCCATCGTTTCAATACCCCCCTCAATTATTTAGAAGAAGCCGAGACTAAGGGACCGTTTGGGATCGCTTTTGATTTTGATTTTTTATTTTTTTGTATATTTTTTTACTTGAAATAAAACATGTTTGTTATGTTATAATATTTTAATTTTTTTTAAAAAGACTCAAAACATTTTGTAGGTTGAAAATAAAATATAAAAACTTACAAAAAATATACACAAACAAGTTTAAAAAAAAAAAATGATCCCAACGAAGCCTTAAGTTTATATTTCTCTTGCCGCAATGTACAATTCGTTGTAAATTATTCTTTGACTTACCCTTGCATCCTGTAATTCAAAGACCAACGAATCCTCTGAAAATGGTATTGGGCGTACTGCAGCAACCTGCAAGTTTTCACCATATGCATCTTAAATATCTTAATTATTGTTGAAATCTCGAATTAGATATGCTTTGCATCACTGACCTTCTCATTGCAGTATTTCCTGAAATTATCTGCATAGTGATCGTCCTTCTCATTCGGAGCTTGGTGGTCGTCTGGTGCACAAATTTGTTCTTTGATTGATCCTACTTTAGCTGCCACTGTTGGATCTTCTAGTTGGGGGTAGCCATAGTTTGTCCATTTCCAAGTCCTCTCATCCAAATGTCTTCTATAAACACAACCATTTGACCCAATTACGAACAATTCAGTGTCACCAAGACACGGGCCTAGTGCTCCTACTAGCCTAACACCTCTATCAGGAGTTCCATGTTCCACCCATTCCCATCCATATGTAGAGCTCCAATGGTACTCGACAAGTCCACCATTTTCCAATATCATGAAGATGGATCCACCGAGTGATGTTAACGATGGCCTCATCGCTGTTCCAGGGGATCTTGAGAGCACCAAATGAGGAGACTGATAGTGTTCATGCCACAATTCTGTGAGTTTGTTGTATTGATAAAGTCGTCCGTTCCTACCCACAACGAAAATTATATTCATCCTAAAGACTTCTTGATCTACTATGAACGCGATCCTGGTATTCGAAGGGCTTCGACAGTCTTTCCACTTAAATTTTCGTAGTGCAACCTGTTGATTAAAATATGTTAAACTATAGTCTGTAACCACGGTGAATTGTGCAAAAAATCATCAGTCTCCTGAGGTTAACTTTACCATAAACTGCAGTAACCGCCCTCTTTTATTTATGAAGAATAGAGCATCTTCAGCTGAAACTCTGCGAGCCTTTCCAGGTATGCCATCCCATGGAGGACCTGTTGCAACTTGTTTTCCTTTCTTCATAGATGTACAGTTGATCCACAAAAGATCGTTTTCAATTCTCTCCCTAATAAGCAAACTTCCATACACATCAACCAAAAACAAGCTTCCATTATAACTTCCCAATGCTCCATTCATGCTTGTTGGGTGTTCATGCCTTAACCACAGCCAAATGTTTTCAGTATATAGGTACTCAAAAGTCTGCCCGCTATCCGACACAAGGAAAAACGATCTATCTGGATGCATAACTCTCATGCGAAAGTTAGTTTTGATACTCTTAGTTAGAAAATTGTTTTGTTCGATGGTACCCATGCTTTCACGATTAGGCAAAGATAAATAATGCTGATTTGTTGGTGCCTGCATTCTTCTTCCTGGTGCAGCCATGCCAAGCTCCTCTGCTTCGTAATCTGCAAGAGCGACGTTCATTCCTGCAAGGCAGTTTAAGAGTCCACGTTCATCAGTGCAGTATTCCGCATTCCACCCTTCGGATTCTGGTGTGTCTAAGATTGACCATTCATACTTATATGATCCTTTTCTTCTTATATTGATCTGATGAATTGGGCCTACACCTTCGCCGCCCATTCCGGATAAATGCAGCTCTGCTAATCTTCCATCATCTAGTGGGAATATAATCCTTCCTGGCTGAAGTTGAGCTCCACTCACTGCCCTTGCAATTTTTGTATGTTGTGGATGCATGTGGTTCACCCACAATCCTTCAATATAATCTTCCCTGTTTACACCTATTAATGAATTAAGGATTAATTTATTGGCCAATTGATTTATTCTTATTTATATAAAAAGTTTTTGGGGCATTTACATGCATTGCACACAATTCTTATTTATTTGCATATGTCACACCTGAACTTTCATATTTAAACAAACGGCACTCAAATATTTAATATCACATAGGAAATAACATCATTATCACTTTTATATGAAATACAACTTTTCATGCATAGGCTTATCACTTTTATATGAAATACAACTTTTCATGCATAGGCTTAAAGTATCAAAGTGCTGCGTGTGTAAATATGAAAGTTAGGTGTACAATATGTAAATACATAAGAATTTTGTGCTATGTATGTGAATTTTCCAAAATTTTTTAGATTTTTACTTTCATTGCAGCAGCCAAAAAATATAGAACTACATAATATCATTTTCAACTTTTTTGAGCACATACTAGTTGCTATTTGAATACTAGAAACCTAAATTATAAAAATTCATGCATTTACATATACACCACTCTATTTAAATAGCACCATACTAGTTGATACATAAGAATTTTGTGCTATGTATGTGAATTTTCCAAAATTTTTTAGATTGTTACTTTCATTGCAGCAGCCAAAAAATATAGAACTACATAATATCATTTTCAACTTTTTTGAGCACATACTAATTGCTATTTGAATACCAGAAACCTAATTTATAAAAATTCATGCATTTACATATACACCACCCTATTTCTATGCATTTACATATCTAACATCTAAACTTCAATTTTTACATATATGCCACCTTAGTTATGCATGAAAAATTGTATTTCACTTTGTAAAAGTTAAATAAGTGGTATTTTTATGTGATTTGAATGATTTTTGTGGTATAACTGTACAAGTATAATTTGGTGCCATATATGTAAATATATAGAAATTGGATGATATGTATGTAAATCTGCCTATCAAAAATGGAAATATGAGCTTTATGATACCTGAATACTTAGGAAGCTGGTATTCAAATATGAACCCGTCATTTGTAGTGAAGAAAATTGACAGCATCTTTTCAGTAATGAAATTTTGCTGGATGAATGTGATGGCACTTAACTGATGACCTTTAGGTGCTCCATGAATCATCCATTTCCATTTCCTTTTGTGCAAACGCCTCTCTATTAGAAAGCCATCCTGTAAATCAAGAATTTTGCAAATGTGCTTTCATGGCGGTGTCTATTAGTCAGATCATACCATCAATAGGCTAACAGAAGTCTATATGATACACTGAAAGTGCTTTCCATTTGTTTTTTTTTTGTTGCAAAATGTACTAATGTTTTGCTTTGGTTTTGATGTCGATTAATGTATGAGTAATGCTTTAGCTTCCCAAAAATTTAACATCATGTCAATACAGAGGAGATGAAAAAAAAGAGTAAGGTGCCAAATAGTCTCCGGACCGTTCACTTAGAGCCATTTTAGTCTTATAGTCCATAAAGTGCCAACCATTTAAATTGGGCGTAAAATAGTTTTCCGTAGAGATTATTTCATCCCATATTAAAAGAGTCTGCGAATAAATTGACATTTTATGATTTTGAGATTAAAATGACCTCATGTAAAGAGTCAGGGGATTACGTTAGACACTTTTCTCTAAGAAAAAAACATATGCATAAGGTATATAGTGCATTGGAATACTTTGTTATCTTTTCTTTTATGTTTAAACTTGATGCTGAATTTTGAAGAAAATAAAAAGTCTGCATGTCACTAGTACTTTATCGAAGTACTTCGATGTTATAGCAAATTGCTTTTTACGTTTATTTATTTATTTGCAATGGAGAAAGAAATTCATTATACTTTGTGTTATTTAATGCTAGATATAGCAACAATCTAACTTTTATTGTTCAGTCTTGTAACTTTTTATGCAGTGGTTTTATTTTATCAGGTCTATATTTTCCTCATCTGTATTAAAATTTTGATCACTGTGCATGAGGGTTTTCATTATTTACCTTTGTCAGCAGGAGAGGGAATGAGTTCCCACTAAGCCATGTAAAGTACACCCAATAGAGGCTGCCAAAGGAACAGCTTCTGCAGAAGCTTCACTCCAAATATGCTTTTTCCATGATGGCTTTGTTTTCTTGTCAAATTCATACAGGTCTCCGGTGGAACTGCAATAAAAAGCTTAACTTTTTACTTCTCTGATTATTTGTGGTAAGTGAACCATCTCAATAGTTTTGTAAATGAAGTTGAAAATCTTCATCAGTGCTAAATGTAATAAAAGGCAGCAGTTGAACCTTTAAATTGTAGAATTCCTCACATAACAGATATCAAATTGATTGTTTAGGCTAGTTGCAATGCAAAAGAAACATCTATTCATGGCATTTCCAACTTTCTGCCACAACAGAATTTATATAATCAGAAAAATTCCTTCCCATTGTCTAGATATTGAAAAATAATGTAGGAATATTAGATGAACCAATATAAATAAAAGGTTCGAACTCAAATTTAAAATTGTTTTGGCAATGGAAATTAAACCTACAATCATATCTAAACATGAATTTCATTCTTGACCTCTTTTTTTGGCCTGATGTCGTCTACTGATTCTGACTGAAGCTTTAGTTTTCTCAACACTCCATAGAATTTTGATCCAAATACTATTTCTCTTGATAACTTTTTATTTATTTTCACTCCCTCTAGGCACATTGTTGATGCATTGCTTTGAGAAATATTATTATTGGCGACTTCTTGTAGATACTCTTTTATTCTCAATGCATGGCCCGTGCTTGATTGCCAAGGTTGCTTATGCTTAATGCGTTATCCTGAGAACTCATCCTTAGGAGTGGCAATATTGGACTTGGCACAAAAGCTCAGTGTGAATCGGGCATAAAAAAATCAATTTCGGGTCAACCTATGTAAGATGTAGGTGACATTTGTGTCAGCTTAATTGACTCAAAATAAAATATGTTTGGGTTTGTGTTAAACCTAAAAGTTAAAATAATGACTTAACTATTTGATTATTTTTAATGAAAAACTCGTGTCCCCGACTATTTACATAAGACAGTTTTAGTCTTAGAGTTTATATAAGTTCTAAAATAGTCTCTAGACTCTTTAAATTGGGTTGAAACAACCCACACAAAAGACTATTAAAGCTCAATTCTAAAATATTTGGAGAATATTTTGGCTTTTCTATAAACTTTGGAACTAAAGATTCCCATGTAAGTAGACGGGGTCTATTTTGACACTTTACTTGAAATTATAATGTCTTATTTTTTTATTAATTGTCATATTCAAAGCAAATAAATGTGTTCATTTCACGTAAGATTGGCGCTAATCTATCACAACTTAAATGTTTTTTACCATGTTTGGTTAGGTTGAGCTTGGTCGAATTGAGCTATGGTTAGAATTTTTGACTTGTTTAGTAAATGAGTCGGACTTGGACTAAGGGTCTGTTTGGGGCAGCTGCAGCTTATCCAGCTTCTGCTGATAAACAGCTGATTCTGATAATCTGCTGATGAGCAGCTGATCCGGATAAGCTGTCTGACTATTTGGTTTGTGCGTATGAAAAACAGCTTATTCTGAGAAAATGATCATTCTGCCACTGTTTTGAAAAAAAACCCAAACACAAATCTCCCCAGTAATTCCTACACGGCATTCACCAACAATAGTGAGATATCAAAACAACAAACAACCTACAATAATCAAACCAAAAGAAAGACCAAAGCAAATCACCAACCCTAAATCAGGCATCGATTTTTCCAACAGTAAATAAAATTTGCAGTAACTTCAAATTTGAACCAGGAACACATAAGAGGAAGATAACATAGCCTAGATTTACCTGTTGCAACGAAGGGTAATAATTGTGCGCAAGATTCCTTGGAGCTTCAACCTGCGCTTCTGCCTCTCGCAACATCAATGGAGATCTGTGGTACTGCGGCACTGCGGAAGATGGAGGGAGCGGCTCTGCGGTACTGCGACACTGCGGAAGATGGAGTGCAGAAGATGGAGGGAGCGGCTCTACGAACGAAGATGAAGAATCGTGAATGAAGATGGAGGGAGCGACACTAGGAGCGCCTTGATCATCGAAGGAGCGCCGAAGGACCGCCGAAGGAGTCCCGAATCGCGAACGAGGGAAGGGGCAGCAGAGTAATTAGGGGCTAAACGTGACAGAAGAACGCGGATCGCGGGTCTAGCTCGCGATCCGCGTGTAATGTAAAAAAGAAACGGAGTTTTGATAAACGCAGCTCCAACACGTGAAACAAACGGTGAGACGTCGTTTTTCAAAACGCCGCCGCACTTATGAGCTGCCCCAAATGGGCCCTAAGTAACTATATTTGTGTCGGGTCATTTTCGAGTGGGACCCATGCTCAATTTGTTCACTTGAAGTGGCATCCCCACTCAACCTAAGTAGGCTTTCTTGATGACTTAATCTACTTGGCCTTGGGATAAATATCTTATCCTCTTAGGAAGTCATCCCTTCTTAGCAACTTGTTCTAGAGACTGTCCTCTCTTGGCATGTTGGCAACACATTGACCCAAGAAACCTTCTCCTAGGTGACACATGTTAGACATTTTGTACTTCTCGGTGCATTGTTGGCGCTTTGTTCCAAGATTCCCTCGAGTTTCTCTACAATTTTCTATGAGAAACTTGTACTTTTGCGTATTATCCACTCCTTGTCCTGAGAAGCCCTCTTGATGACCTGTCTTATATATTTTATCCCTCTTAGCATGTTGTTAATGCCTTGTTCCGAGAAGATGGTCCCTCTTAATGATTTTTTCTCAGAGTTTGCCTTATGTCACCCCTCCCTAAAGAACTCACAATCTCCTTCTCTTTGTCAACCAATGGCTAGGATTTTTTCATCTTAGGTATTTAAGGATTCCTTGTCTACTTTTTATTTGATCTCAAATGGGAATGGGTCCAATTAGCTTTTTTACTAACTAGATGGGACTCTTAAGCATGTGTTAGATAATATCCAACACTTTGGTTATGGAGTAAAAGATCCTTCTACCTTTATGGAATTTTTTTTTTGGCATTGCACACAACTCAAGAAACCTCTTTAAGCAAACCTTTGTCCATTCTTTGCTATCCCTAATGGCCTTTTCATGCTGATTACTTGGTCGAGATTATATGAATCTTTCCTCTTATCTATTCCAAAATGTTACAATATTGAGGTATGAACTAATATGTTACTTACCTTGAGGTTACAAGTTGGAGCGATCTAAAACTTTGAGATAAGAAAAACCTTTCAATTGTAATACTTGTTTCAACTTTTGTGACATGTATAGTTTTTTCTCTCCTCTCACTTTTACCTCTTAGAGTGAATATTTTTCTTTTGGCTTTCACTAGGCCTCAGTCGAGTTGTGCACCCAATGATTGTAGTTTCGCTTGCCATCCCATTGCTAGGAGAAGGGCATACTATGTCTGTAAACCACATTTAGGTTACAATACAAGAAGCCTCTTAAACCACCTTGATGGACAAATACCTTATCACCGATGTTTGGGAAGTTGAAGAAGCCCCTACCCCATATGTACTATACAATATTTTCACCACTTTTGTCATTGTATATTATTTTGTTGAAGCAACCCCTCAAAGTACTTCCTGACTTCACTATTAGGATATTGTGTTGCCCATTATAGTCATTGGTCATATTACTTGCCAATTTCACTATTTAGAGACCACACCACTTATTGATATCATTTTATGGATTGCAATTATCTTCTTTCCCCAGAGATTGTGATGCTGGTGATTGCTAACTTATGTCTATAATTCAAATGCGTCATTTTGTAATATCAGCAGATGCAGTTCAGTTAGAGAATCTATTACTTGAGAGTCTGTTTGATTTGAGTATACTTATAAAAAAATGCATTCAATCAATATAATACTTGTATACATCTATTAAAAAGCATTTTATGTTATTTTGATTTTTAGATAATTTTCTAAATGTCTAACTAAGAAACAATAATACAATCCTTTAAATCTTTATATAATAAAATTTTAGCTACAACTTCAAATAATTTTTTTGAATTCATTATAAGTTTGGTTTAGAATCCGCCTTCACTATGTTGTAGAGCATTATGAAGTCAGTTTTAGAAATATTTTCTTTATTGTTACAAGCTTTATTAGTATGAAAACGGAAAAAGGTATTTATTCAGCTGAAATGCCTTGAAAAGTTAACATACATTGGCACAAATTTATTCTTTGGAATTATCTGATATTCATTTTTCAATAATTATGGTTGTATGTTTCTATTATCCCGCCTCTGTCTTTAATGATTTTGTTATTATATCATTTCTAAAATTCTAATTTTATTAAAACTTTTAAAATTATAATATTTTAGCGTTTTGAGAACTTTCATTTTGTAATTTTTTTGTCATTGTTGACCTCGCTTTCGGTCGAGGTGTAGTTTTCCCCTCCTTAGTAGCCTAGGATCTAGCTGTAGGACCTTTCTGTCGACTATTCCTAGAAAATTAGTGAAGGAGCCCTCCCTGTTAGCAGTTCTAAACTTTTCTTCGCTCGACTTGACATTCCATGTAGTAGTCTTGACCGCTATCGCCTAGCAGGTAAGGCTACTTCGAAGGAACTCAGAGAACATTTCTATAGGACTGTCGGCCTTAGGATTGACTCTACTCGTTGATTTGGCGCCGCTGCGCTCTTCGCCGTCCTGTTTAATCGAATTTGAGCCGAAATCTTGATAGGATTTGGACCGCGACGCGTTTTTAACCCGATCGACAACAATGTTGCCCGGACAACTCCGGATGATTAAACAGACCGCGCCGATGCGTCCAAAGCGTCGATTTTGCTTAGGGGGGATGTTCGTTTCGTTGCGACGGCGTGTCTTGGGGAAAATTCCTATTTAAGTGTTTATTATAATAATAAATAATAGTTTATTATTATTATTATTATTATAATTAATAACTTATATTAAAATCCCTAACCTAAACCTATCTCCCTCCCCGCCTCGTTCTTTCGCATCCGTGGGCGCCCCTCTTGCACGCGAGACAAATCTCGGAGACGCCAATCCCTCGTATCCTATCTTCTGCGTTATGGGTTCGATCTTCTCTGCATCGGATCGTATCCTCTGCGAGGATCTAATCCTCCGCATCTCTCGATCCTTCTGCCGCATCTTCTTAATCATTCTTCTCCTCTGTCCTTAGCATATATGAGAGCTCCTCTGTGAAGCTGCTAAAAAGGCCGAAAAATTTCTAAGGGAGAA